CTCTCTCTGTTCCCCTCATCCTTTCCATCTCCCGTCGTCTCTCCCTTTTCCTTCCCCTTCCCCTCTCGGTTCCCGTCTTCCTTTCTCTCTCTGTTCCCCTCATCCTTTCCATCTCCCGTCGCCTCTCCCTTTTCCTTCCCCTTCCCCTCTCGGTTCCCGTCTTCCTTTCTCTCTCTGTTCCCCTCATCCTTTCCATCTCCCGTCGCCTCTCCCTTTTCCTTCCCCTTCCCCTCTCGGTTCCCGTCTTCCTTTCTCTCTCTGTTCCCCTCATCCTTTCCATCTCCCGTCGCCTCTCTCTTTTCCTTCCCCTTCCCCTCTCGGTTCCCGTCTTCCTTTCTTTCTCTGTTCCCCTCTCCCTTCCTCTCTCCCAGCCACTCATTCACCGCGATCGTTGCCGTTGCAGGGACAAGCTGCGGAACCAGCTGCAGCTGGCGCTGACGAAGGCAGACTCGGAGGAGCTGGCGAGGAAGATAGCCGAGGAGCACGTGTCTGACCTCGAGAAGGAGAAGACAATGATGGAGCTCGAGATCAAGGACCTGATCGCGCGGCAGAAGACGGAGATATCCAACAAGGAAACGCAGATATCGACGGTACTGAGCGATAGAAGGAGGGGACGTAGTTTTGTAGCCGGGATAGTAATCGATAGGGGTCTTGTTACGAACGCTGTAGAAGTAGAAGAAGTCGTAGTGAAATTAAATTTTATCGTTGTTCAAAACAAGGTGGAAAGTGATGCGTAGGTCATGGGTTGCATTGTTCGGTATGCAGTGTGCATGTGTATTCGTTCGCAGCACTTTCCAGCTAACTAAGTCTGGCTTACAGAGTAAAGAAAAAAATTCTAATTGACCTTTAAAATTACCTAATGTTACTATCTACATCTACATCTAAATATGTTTAGTAGTGTAGTTATGGATTCTTGTAATTAATGTAGCCGTTGTTAATTCACGTGGTTAGCAATGATTTTGTGTGTCATCGCAGTTGCAAGACAAAAACAAGGAGTATGGGAAGACCCTTGAGCGTGTTATTCAAGAGAAGGACGAGACAGACAACGTGCTTAAGAAAGCCATTGATGGTAAGCGATAGACGATATTCGTGAAGCAAAAACATGCTAGACAAATTCGGAACACGACTTGTGCGATACACATTGAAAACACGTTACACATGAAGTAAGTCACAACGAGTGACCTTTGTCATGCCTCTTTCTCTTTGTCTGTTTGTCTCTTTTTCTCTCTCTCTCTCTCTCTC